GATTTTCTAAGCTATGGGGCTTCGAATAGAGCCCGAGATCAAATAAAATATCAGTAAAAAACTTTAAAAACTACGCGACCTCAATGGATAGAAAAATGAGCCCACGATACAGTCAGGCGATGGTGGTCAGCGTATACTCTAGTTTGACAGCTGTCAATTAACCTTCATTAGAATGGGGAATATTCGAATTAACAGACTAAGAGTGTGAGTAAGACATATCTGTCCAGCTTGTAGTGGAAAAATGCCAGATCGTGTACCTGAGCGAACCTGAGCCCACGTTATTAGTTTTCTGATAGTGGTCTGCACATGTCCCATTTTGACAGCTGTCAATTGACCTTAATTTGGCTTGCCAAAAGACATATCTGTCCAGCTTGTAGTGGAAAAATGCCAGATCGTGTACCTGAGCGAACCTGAGCCCACGTTATTGGTTTTCTGATAGTGGTCTGCACATGTCCCATTTTGACAGCTGTCAATTGACCTTAATTTGGCTTCCCATTATAACTTTAAACGACTGTCAGCCCTGTCCGGCGTAGTTTCGTTTTTATGTTGAATTGGTAAGTGTGACATATTATATCAGCCTATATGTAGGGGCAAAACAACTGGTCTTTCATCTGACCCCGCGAGGTGGTCATGTGATAATTGTCAGCAGATGTCTGATTTTGACAGCTGTCAATCTAATTGTACTCATACGGATGGCTTACATAACTGAAAGGCTAGTCAAGTTGTGCAAGATCTATTGTGACATTTGACATCGGCTTACATGAAGTGTGTACGGGTGGGCGGGCGGGCGTACGTACGCTATGTCACAACCAAATTTTCTCGGATGGATAGTTTACCAAATCTTGTTACTCATGGCGCTTCCCTGCGCGTGCTTCGCGCGAGCGAAAGCTCCGCTAAAAATGCTCATTTCTGCCTTTTTGTATAATCGATCTCATAGCTGCAGAACTGGAAGTACTTGAAAAGAGGCGTGGCGTCCTATCTAGAATTATTCATAACATCAACACTTATCCCTGTACAAGAGTTAAGGTATGTACAAGCTTAGACAGTACGTAATTTACCTATTTTTATTATAATTATTCCTCACCTATATATCTGGAAATATCCCTCAGAGGGCGTGGCTGTATGAGTATTACTGTGCACTATACTGTACTTCATCACTCTTATAAATTTCGGACCAATGCATTAACTTTAAGCTTGTGTTTTTGCTGTTTTGAAGATAATTCATTCCATGGCTGTAAAACTGGAAGTATTCAGTTTGGGGCGTGACGTCCTATCCAGCTTTACTCAGGGTATTGACCCCTATGCCTCTGCCAAATTTCGTGCCTTTAACACCAATTGAACAATCCGCATGTTTTCTACACCATTTTCTTCTACTATTTAGCCTAAAATTTGACATAGGTTCATATTTTTAAAAGCTATTTGAAATAATGTGTATTCTGAATGGGACCTTCAATCATATTTTTTTTATTAAAGTCAATTCCATAGATGCTTGGTGCGCAGATTTTTCTATAACAAATAGTTTTAATAACACTACCTTCTCTTAACTACAATGTATTCAGAAAATAAGAACATACTAAAGAACCAATACCCTAAATTTGTGCTACAGTAAAAACCCGCATATAAGAACCCTTTATCACCCCGACTTGCAATAAAGAACAGGATTTGTAATATCAACCGGATTTGTATTGAAAATCAACGTGATGTGTAATAACAACAGGATTTGTAATAAAAATCAACCTAATAGGTAATAAAATAACTAACCGCATTTTAAAGTAATGTTTAATAAACGATCGGGAGTGTTTTATCGCCGAGTGGCTTTATACCCCGATAAAACAAGACCTGTGAGTTTATTGAACGACTTCAAAAATATTCCTGGAAAAGTGTGTCTCAATGGAGTTAATAACAATGACGCTTTTGTGAACGTTGGAAATTAGCATAGGAAAAAAAGACTACATATGAAATTATTATGTAAGAATATGAAATCTCACACTTTTTAGAAATTTCCCAGTCTACGAACGACACTAACCGAAGAGGACACAGCGTCTTGTTCAAGAGCTTTTCGGAAATTGAAAATGGTACCCCAAAGTCAACTATTCCACTGAAAAAGTATTCTTTGAAAAACATTTTCTGGAATGGCCGAATTTTAGGTAAACAAAAATCCAGTACTAAAGCCTTGCATATTCACAACTGGCAAGTCTTGAGTGCAACGCTTGGACACTGTTATAGCCACTATTACCACTGTGTCACTGAACTTTTGGCTGATTAAATTGGTGAAAGAACAAAGTTTAATTTTTTGCAATAGTAAATTTACTGTGTGTTATTTTGAAAGAACATTAAACATTCACCCACCATTTGTTGTGTCATTTGCTGTGCTGATAATTAAGAGGCCCTGCGCCTTAGAAACGACTGACGATTTCTGGCTAAAAATTAAAATCCGCCGATTTTTATCTTCAAAGTAGAGGTAACCGAATGCTATTTAAAAATGAATTTCTTTCGCTTCAGTTTTGCTTTAAACCAAAAATATCGAGCTGCAAACTTGTTACGTCTGATAGCAGCATAAACTGTCCCAAAATATGCCCTTTCAAAAACCAGTTCAGGAATAATTATCGCAACACAAAATAATGAGAAAACTACACAGTGATGAAGAAAAGGCCTTTTAATGCAATGTCATTCGCTAAACATCGAAAAAGTGTAGACATTAGAAGGATATACGTTACGTTTCTGGAAAAACATTTTTCGGCTTAACTATATTGACCTTGTACACTTCGGCGAAACACGTCTCTGTTGCCAATATGGCCATGGATAGCATGGTAAATGTCACTTTAAACCTTGCTAGTTGCTCAAATACAATCCTAAATAGAGCGTTTTCACTGACGTGGCCAGCATCTATGCTAATTTATTGGAGCAAAAGAAAGCATTTCCATGAGAAAAGAGTTGCCTCTCAGAGGATTTTCTTGGTACACCAACATGGCCGCCATTTCATGGTTTTGGAACACCAATATGGCCGCCGTGACGTCATGTGGAAACGCTCTGTAGAAGGATATGGAATGCAAAGACAAAGGAAGATGAAAAATACGTAGAAAAAGAAAATAATTTACGTATACCATCTGCTACGGTCAGTTGAATATTGAAATGTTAACGCGTGACAGCACTCATATGCGGCGGAATCCAAGCAAATGCCTAAAATATAAATAAAAAACCCAACTCTTTCCGTCGCCAGAAATCGTGAAGTGAAACAGTTTTATATTATTGCCATGAATGGTGATGAATTCAGGTGAAAATTAGCCTCAGATACTCTCCATTTAGTACCTTTGTGGGCTGCATGTACTTTGTTACATTCCAACGGACGTTACGGGTCAGCTCTTACAAGGGTCAGCGGACGTAAAAATAGAAACAAGCAGGTAATCATGGTGAATGCCTGTTCTTTGGCCAAAAAAGGTCTCCTGGACTGCGGATCCTCACGTGGTCTGTATGAATGTCGAGATGATGTAACTCACATCCCAAAAATTGTTTTCCGTCGCGTGCAAACCTTAAAGAATCTGAGGTCATCCTGCAAAGGGCTAGCCTCGACCTTTTGTCACACGAAGAAGTGAAAACATGACGGGTTTTTGCTCGCCATCGCTATGGTCTGGGCAAGTACTGGAGGTTTTCAAAGTTGTGTCAGTATCCAGGGCACAAAGGACCACCTACCAGTGTCAAAAGTCGTGCTGTGATCAACTCTGCCATGACCAAGGAGGTGTTTCAGTTGTTTGATATATCTGTTCCGATAGGCTCACTCAAGAATAAAACACAAATTACCTTTTTGAGGATGTCTTTGTCATAAAGTTTTACTTCATTTTACAGTGCTTGTCTCATACGGTATTTTTTATAACTTTTCTTTTCTATTTTAATTAGCTATAAAAAAAAAATGTTAACTCTGTCCGAAAAAACATAAAGCAGATACGAATTCAACATTGTTTGCTCCTGAAGCGGAGAGTACAAAAACACATGCTGCTGAAAAAACGTACAAGTTAAGGTATACTTCAATTGAAGAAATATCTTTTCTGAGGAAGAACGAGCTGAAAACTTATAGGTGTTTTATGAAATCCTAAAAACATTCATTATATGTTCACTTTATCTTCTCCGTGAGTAATAAATGAAGTTTTAATAATCTTTTCATTTTATTGCAAAGCTAAGCAACATTAATATAAGAAATAAAAATTACAAATGCTGAACCGAGTCCAGGTTTTGCAGCAGCGCCTAAGAGGAACTTTACGAGTCCTCAAGATCCAGCCTGGACCCTAAGTGCAATGAGTGCACAAGGCAGCGGTAGTTTCGACGAGGAAGAGCCCTTTGTAAGTCCTCGAAATGCTGAAATGCTTCATGTTTACAACGCTGCAATGTCAAAATTAGCAAAATCAAGTTCCTCTGCAGACAACTTCTCCCCCTTGACATCTCGCCTAAAGACATCATGGGAAAATACAACTGAACTCGATCCTAGAAAAGCCAGGTAAAAGCTATTTAAGGGTGTCTTCTGGTTTGTAATAATAATAAAAACAATATTTATAGAGGAAGCCCAACTCGCCAAGGCGGTTTTCACTGGGGCCCTCATGCATTAATCTAACTAATTAATTCATTATTACGAAAAAAGTAAAATAGTTTTACAAGTAAAAAAATTTTAACAATTTAAAATCTTAAAATCGATTATTCAAAAAATATCAAGGTTATGAGGTGGTAGCCCCGAATACAAAAGGGGATTTATCTCAGGCGCTATCCAAATCGAGTGCAAGAAAATCAGAAGACAATCTCTCTCTGATGATGGCGTATAGAGATGCACATACTAAAAGTGTCAAATTACAGATTTTAAGTCTGTATGCCCACAGATTCTCCAATGAAAAACTTACCATGAACCACATGAGCACCTCACGCGCTGGCAAATTAAACAAGCCTGGAAACATGCTACAGATAAAGGACCTGGAATCCCACAGGAAAAAACAGTCCAACGTCGCATTCACCCTACAATGGCTAAGGTCGATCATTTCGTAGATTTTGTCAATAGGCCTTACTTCTATCAAGATGTGGCTTACGGTACAAGAGTAATCAAAGTAGAAACGGGAGAGAAAATGGCCATGCCTACCGTCATACGCACTGTAACCCAAACTACCATGATTAACCAGTATTTACAGTACTGTGATGAGGAGACATTCTCAGCCCTCAACACCCGAACTCTTTACGAAATTCTTGAGGTGAGGGAGGCATCCCAGAGAAGGTCACTTCAAGGCTTGGACAATATCGCTACTGATGGTGCAGCTGCATTTGAGACTCTTGAGAAAATAATAGATGAACTTAAGTCATTGGGTACTGAGTCTGAATAGTGTACGGAAAGTAAGACAACCCTTAAGGCATGCAAACGGTACTTAAAAACAGAGTATCCTGTCAACTGCAGAGATGGTCAGCAGAGCACCTGCCCAGATCACTGCTGTAATTTTGCTCTTGGTGATATTAGTGACGATGCTTTTAAAGTTGAATGCAATCATGTCCACGATACCGTGTGTAACATTTGTGAATCCTTAAAGAACATATTGCGGGAAATGGAAGAACAAATAAGAAACGTGAACATTGCATTTTACAACAAAGACCACCAAGAAGATATCTTGTACGATTTTGTGAAAGCAAAACAAAGCATCCTTGACTGGAAAGAGCACATTCTTAGGTCATGCAATCAAGAAAAGGCACAACAAGACCTTTTACAGAACTTGAACACCTCTGAGGCAATATTTGTAATGGACTGGGCAATGATATTTCAGCAAATGAAGTTTAGGGAGAAACAGTCAGAGTGGTTTGGTCCACGTGGATTAAGTTGGCACAGAAGCAGTGTCATCTTTAAAGACGAAAACAGGAAAGAAGGAGAGGTGCAATCGTATGCTCATCTGTTCAATACCTGCACGCAAGACTGGTATGCAGTCGCTTCCATTCTAGAAAATCTGCTTTTCAAGTTCAAGTCCACTCATCCTTCAGTTTCTCAAGTGTATTTGCGTTCAGATGAAGTGGGTTGTTAACATAACAACTCTCTTATCGCAGATCTACCAAGCGTCGGAGAACGCACTAGAATTTTGGTCAGACATTTGATCATTCTGTGCCGCAACACGGTATGGACATTTGTGATCGTATTTTGTGTCCAATCAAAGCCGCCATAATAACATTTTGTAACGAAGGTCATTATATCCTTACGGCCAATGATATGCACACGGCACTGAATGAACGGCTGGTGAAAGGGACAACCACAACTGTATGCTCTGTTGATGAATCAAACAAGAACGCTGAGGGTAAGAAATTAGAAAGCTTCGTGTCTTCGTGTCTGGCGCTGTTATGGCATCGGTAATGGGAAGTTTGCTCCTCACAAGTCTTAAATTGTGCAACTGCAAAAATCACCATCGCTCATTCCCAAGGAGCCATTTTTCCCCATAAGAGTGTTTTCAGTCCTTAAACCAGACATGAAAACTATGCCTGAGAGCGCGCAACTGTTTTTGTTTGTCCTGAGCCTGGCTGCACAAAAATGTTTGCAAGATTTTCAGACTTTGAACTTCATTTAGATGTAGGAGAGCACGTGTCACAAAACGAACTGGCCGATCTGCAACATAATATATATGATAAACTAAAACGAGACTGGGTTGCTATATTTGCAAAATTGCAAACCAAAGAACGTCCACCCCAGCATTGCCAAATTGATTCAACATGTGCTCAACGCGAAAAAACTGTTCCCGAAGCGAACATGGGATGGGCTCTGGCAAAGGCAAGAAGCGGTTCTGATCAGTTTTCTGAAAAGGTAAAAGAATATCTAACAAAGAAGTTTGACAAAGGGGAGAAAACTGGACAGAATGCTTCTGCAGAACAGGTAGCAAAGGACATGTGTAATACGAGAACTCATGATAACCAAAAGGTTTTTGGAAGGGAAGAATGGCTTGCAAAATTGCAAGTCCAAGGATTCTTTTCTCGCTTGGCATCTTCGAGAAGAAAGCAGGGTTGGCACGGGGCTGAGACAAGCGAAGAGGATGACGAAGGTGATGGAGTTGGAGAGCTACGCCAAGCTGTTGAAGAGGTGATAGAGAATCTGGGCTTAAAACACCCGATTATATTTGATGTTTACAATCTTTGTCAATATTATCATAGCAACAAGCCATCATCTTTCAATGTCAGTATGTTAAAAGACATGTGCGGGTATTTTGAAATACCCTTCAAATCTAGAGATCCAGAAAGAGACCTTTTAGCTAAGGTTTCAGGAGTTGTAAAGGAATGTGAGTGCAGCAAAGAGTAATTTAATTCTGTACCACAATCTTTACAGCACAAGAGTTTGAGTGGTGGTACTGTCCAATGTCATGCTTCAGATACTTTGCTGTATGAGTTTACATTACAGACCGTGCGTTAAGTGCAATGATTATTATGTCAATATTGTTTTAAATACTATTGTGGAAACAATGTATCTTATAAATGAATCAAATCGACAGTTCTTTCCTTGTAAAAGGTTACAAGGGTGTATTTCTCAATTCTGCAAAGTGAAGTTTCGCAAGAAACAAATGTATTAAGGAAATAAAGTTCCAAATAAGTGAAGCACTTTCCACGACTTTCAGTAAATTGAAAATTCTACCGGTCTCCTAATTGTTTTTACCATGTCCTTGCTGAGTTTTTGATTTCCAAAAAAAGCTAGGCCCGAGGATAATCAGTGTGATAATAATTGAATCTGTAAGCTAGTACCAGGATAATACATTTTATGGTGCAAGATGCCAGTTCTCTGAAAAAAAAAAGGAAGTAATAAATTTTGTAGTGCTTAGGAGTAACGAACTCCAGCAAAGCATAGTTTTTGCGACCAAGATCTTCCTCATCTTCGGGAGCGACAGTATTCCAATATTTTCCTTGAAGGCCATTATTATCGTCAGGCCCGTAAAGAAAGGTCAGATTTATTTATTATTTAGACTGCTGACCCAAAGCGTTGACTCGTGACGGCCCATGTTGTGACGAAATACAACGCTCAGATCACACTGCAGCAAGGCAGTACGGTAATCTTCTCCATTTAAGTGAACGTCGGTTATGATAAATAACATAACATTGTTTCACTAAACGCTTTCCGGACACAAAACAGTTATTTCCCTATTTGTATTTTGTGAATTCGTTTGGATTCCACCGCAGTTTGAAGAAATGAATGGTGTCACGCGATAGCATTTCCAAGATTCAATTTTTATTTCCGCTGACCCCTGTAAGTTCTGACCCGTAACATCTGTTGGAATGTAACAAAATACATGCAGCCCACAAAGGTACTAAATGGAGACTATCTGAGGCTAATTTTCACCTGAATTCATCATCATTCACGGCAATAATATAAAATTGTTTCACTTCAGGATTTCTGGCGGCGGAAGAGTTGTTTTTTCATTTATATTTTAGGCATTTGCTTGGATTCCCCCGCAGTTTGGAGATACAGTGAAACCTGTATTAAGCGGACAGTTGCCGAAGGTCCAAAATTTATTTCCCTTACTTACTTTAAATGAAACCTTTATTAAGCGGGCACCTCTATTAAGCGGACGCGGACACCTAAAAATCACCTGGAATAGTCATTTCTATTGTTACCAACCTGTATCAAACGGACACTTGTGTAATCAAATTCCACCACCCAACATGCCAGACGCTGCCAATGCAAAAAATTGCCTCGAATTTCCACCCACAACTTTTCCGATTTTTACATTAAAAAACGTGACTTGACGAACTTATTTGATTGGTTTCAAAGTACAGGATTGTTTTCTATTTCGTTTTGTTTGTATAGAGCTTGTTTCACTCATCTGATTTCTTCAAATTTGAGTTGCAATCTATGTTTATGATCAATTGGTCCACTTTGATAAAGAAATATTATTAATGCAAACGTATATCAACAAAGTCTCTGGGAGTATTCTTAACATTTCCACTGTTCATTTAAATGGCATTTGACACCTCATATGACGTTATCTATTGAAACCTGTATTAGGCGGACACCCTGTATTAAGCGGACACTACAGCATTCCCCGAGGGTGTCCGCTTAATGCAGGTTTTAACTGTATGAGTGCTCTCATGCGATAACATTTCCAACATTCAACTCACCTCAGCAGATGGTAAATGTAAATTATTTTCTTTTTCTACAAATTTTTCATCTTCCTTTCTCTATTAATTCCATATCCTTCCATATCGGATGGTATTTGAGCACCTTACAAGGTTTAAAGTAACATTTATCACGTTATCCATGGCCGTATTGGCAAACACTGCAACTTTGAAGGCTTCATGCAAGGTCAATATACTTTGGCTGAAAAATGTTTTTCCAGAAACGCAATGTATATCCTCATAATGTGTGATTTATCACTGTGATTGCTTTCAACAGCGTAGGATTTTGTAGAAATAATTATTTTAAAATCAGGTCCACTGTTCCATCTAATTTGATATGCAATATTTGAATATTTATTTTTCATTTGCTTCAGCACTTTTTCGATGTTTATCGAATGATATTGTAGTAGAAGGTCTTTTTCTTCATAACTGTGTAGTTTTCTCATTATTTTGTCCTGCGATAGTGTTATCTGAACTGGTTTTCGAAAGGGCATATTTTGGGACAGCCCCTTACTCACCTCGCCCCACTCCCTTTGGAAATTTCCGAACCCATCCTTAGAGGTAGGTAAGGGTATTCATTTTTGATTGGAAATGCACATCAAAGTATTACTCACCTTTTGCAGCGTTATTACAAGTCACGTCAATAGGTCTAAAAATCCGGTTAAGCATGTTATTACAAATCCGGTTAGTTATCTTATTATTCTTAGGTCGATTTTTTTATTACAAATCCTGTTGTTATTACATATCATGTTGATTTTTATTACAAATCCTGTTGTTCATTGCAAATCAGGGTGATAGATAACCCAGTGATTTAAGAACCCACAGGCTGAAATTTGGCATTTAAAATATAAGAACCTGTTCAGTCTGGCAAGAAAAATAGGTTCTTATACAAAAAAATCACTCCAATTTTGATGGTCAAAATTCTCGATTTTAATTGCGTGAGAAACATTTGACAAAAGGTTATTGTGCATATGTTTTCTTTGATTTACATTTTGTTTGGACTTTCACTAGAAGTATGTTTTCCGTAAAGCTACCGTGCAATATAGACGATTCAAAATCTTAATACCTTAATTAAAAAATTTAGGAATGTACTGATTTTCTTCTTGGACCTTGATTATTTGCCATTATGTATTACTAATACAATATTCTTTCAATGGTTAAACTATGACCTCTGAAAAGTAAGAACCTTTTAAGAACCTAATCAGCCTGATTTTTGAAAAACTACCCTAAAATATAAGAACCTGTTCTGCATGACTTTGACAATTCTAGGGTCTCATATGTGGGTTTTTACTGTAATTATTATTAATGTAAGAGCCCATTTATAGTTTACTTGGGAAGATCAAGAACCTTACTCGCAGAGCAGCACCATATAGCTACTCTTCAATGAATTTCCAGTAGGTTTTTATAATGCTTGTCCAATTTGCTTTATGTTTAGGCTGATTTCCTATCGGCAGGATCTACAATGGAAAGTCTTGACCTCGCAGGATTCCATTGCAGCTTTATGGCTATTGTAATTTCCATTTTGTGAAAACTTCATCATGCCTCACTTCTTCACAAAACCAGCGATGGTGTGAAAAACCATTGTGTGAATCTAACATAAAGGCGATTGTTTATAAGGCAACCCACAAATGTTGGTATGGTCCGAAGACTTTGTTTCAGCTGCGGTCGCACTAGGGTTTACCTCTAGAGTAACAGCGGTGTAAACATATCTGTTTACGTTTCACGGTTAACACTAAATCTACTGTTTAAGGGTTGCATCTCCTTTGCATAAGAGTTGATTTTTTGTCTTGATGGCAGATGGGTGATGAACGTGAGATTTCAAGTTTTATTTACAAGAAAACATCATGCAGGATCAACGCGTTCTCATCGCAAGTTTAGTTGCGATTTAAATTTAATTTTTATTTCTTGTTTATGAAGTGAACGCTATTTACTCCCCATG